CCACACACACACACATAGTTTAAAAGGGGGAAAAAACAGCACCAAACTGCAAGAATTTAATAAAAACAAAAGTGAAAATAAAAATGCACAAGCGCTTCAAAAACATATCAGTGACTCAGAAACCATAATCTTAAATGTTGCTGTTTTGTCAAATTTTGTTTTTAAATTAATTTGAGTTTTATGTTCTTGTTTTATGTAAGTTTAAAGTAATGTGGTTTAACATATCTTTAAAACATATATCCTCTGTTTGTTGCTAAATACCGCTTTCTGCTTTATTGACTTTAATGAAATATTTTTAAATTTATTTTAAACTGTGAAACGTGTTTTTTCTTCTGTTTATAGGTTTCTCTCGTGTTTTTCTAATTGTGATTTTGTTTACAGTTTTGTCTTTTGGGTTTTTACACATCTGGCTAATTAACCAGCGATGGGGATGAGAGATTAAACACTGCATTTTTTTTCAGACCGCTATAAGTGAAAATAATAGAGGACAGACCAAGTCAAAAATATTTAACATTCACTTTAATAGTTTGGTTGTTTGAGTACAGTGGTTATTTCTTGCATTCACAGACAAAACAAACAAATAATTACTGGAAACACACAATATATATATATCTTTCTGATAACATCTGTGGCTCAGTCTAGTTGTTACAACAGGTACAAAAGCATGTCCCTGCACTTGCAAACACACTAACACAAGCATGTAAAATCTGTCCAAAACTTTGAACTAATACTTTTAAATTCTGTGTGGTTCATACAACTATTTACATACAGTTAGAAAAATTATGCTTTCAAGAAAAAATACAATGTATGAGTCTGAAATTACAAAAAAAAAATAAACACTGATTATTTAAACGTGATAATATACAGTATATAATATTGATTAGAATTAGAAAGTTCCATTATCTACGTTCAAGTGCTATTAATTACGATGCACAGGAGGGCGGCTGGGTTGCAGTCAAACATCTCCTGCCTTAGTGGCATAAATCAAGGTGCAGCTCAGAGATTCAGAGATAAAAGACTCAGAGAGTCCAGGGCCAAAAGTCAGAGGTTACAAAAATTCAGTCAAACCTCCACCTCTAAGAAAAGTGGTTAGTACAGAAAAAAATGGAAGGGAGGAAGGAGGGAAATTACCAGGTCAGATTCCTTCTGCTCACTACCTCGGTTACTCAAAAGAAAATGATAACATTGTACTGCAGCATGAATACTGATGTTTTTCTTTGCTTACACACAGGTCATAGTCAAAGCAATGCAGGGCGGTCTGATTAGAGCAGGAGCTGGAGGTAAAGATCGTTAAAAGTTCAAGCAAGCGCTCGTTGTTCTGTGGTTCTTAACAGCCGAGGTGTTCTGGGTTCAGTTCACAGCTGCTGGTTGATGTTTTCCAAACTGACTAGAGCATCGAAAAGAAAGAGGAGGCAGGCTCTTTTCTCATCCATCACCTAAAAGCAAAAAGTGATCCGATGTGCTCTGAAAGCTAAATGAAATGCGTCCGCACCAGAGAGAAGCTTTCAAAATTAGCAGCTTTTTAAAAAAAAAAATCATCTATAAAGTCCTGTTGTTTTTAATTGCATGTAAAAATATATATTTATATATGAAAAAGAATACTCTGCAGTTCTTTTCACTGGGCAGGCTCTTGTATGTGCTCTTGGAATTTCACATGTAAATATTAGGGATGTCCCGATCGTTGAGTAGTATGGATCAGCGGCCACACTCTGCCTCCGATCGCTGTTGTTGAACTGCCGTCTATGGTTTTACATCAACCGCTCGGCAATATGGCTGCCATTCAGCAGCTGTTGTGATGTAATGTCTCAAAACATCTGCAGTGCGAAAACATTTTTCAGTACATAATGACCGCAGTCCAGTAGCTACTTGCAATTTGGATGTTACTTTTGTTGGTAGTGATAGAGCTATCACGTTAAAAAATATGTTTTTTAAAAAACGTAGCTGAATACAACAGGTTCACCCAGCTAGCACAGAAAAACGGTTGCCATCACTTTAATGTATTTATGGTGTGTAATCTGCAAATCTGTGCTGCAGAAAAATGCAAAACAATGCAAGTGCTGGATTAAGGCTCAGATCACTGTGACAAGAAAAATACGAATCAGGACATCCCTAAAATATATATTAAACGAGTGCAGGACAGCATGTGTATCAGTGTGCCAGAACGTGTAAGCATTTGTTAGATTGTACACTTTTATCAAATACTTCTCTTACAACGATTCCCTTTCTTATATGAGAGTTTGTCTGCTATTCCCCGTTGTGCTGCAGTTCATCGTTCCTTTTCTTCTGATTTATGAAATGATTGCTTGCACCCGCTAGCAGACTGTTTGCTGACTGGACAGTGGACTTTCCAGGGACATGCTCGTGGGAGACAGGTCTGGACGGGTGCAGGGCTTAAACATGGAGGAGATGTAAATCGCCTGCAGGCACAGACACAAAGCTTGTCAGGAAATATACACAGACCACACATGCTGTCACTCATTGGCTGTTTATAAACACCAAGAGTAAGCAGACTGAGAAAAAATGAAAGAAAGATACTATTGTTTAAGTTTACAAATCTGGTAAAGACAAAGATTACTGTTATTTACAACTATATGGACAACTTTGGACATACCACCCAATATGCTGTTAGCCCCCCTTGGATGAAGCCAGTGAGGACATCAGTGGGGTGGTGTCGGTAGTCGGAGATGCGGCTCAGGCCTGTGTAGATTGCAAGTATCACTAGCAGGAACTGGACTAGCGGGCGCACTAACCGAGCTCCTCGCCATGATAGCCTCGCCTGCAGGTAGAACTGAGAAAATGACAATAAATATTAGTATTCTGTCCGCAAGCCTTTAATGTTTGCATCTAGATGTTTGTGTGTTAATGTATGCCCTACGAAGATAAAGTTGTCTTTATCTTTAATGACTAAAGTTCTGTAAACTCTGGCACTTTATTTGAAATATGTACATCCGTTCAATCTGGACCCAGAAGGAAAAAAGTAAACTTGGCCTTATTCCGTGAAGAACTTTCATGCCTTCTTTTGTTCAGATTAAAACACCACATCAAAGTGTGAGTCTAAGATTAAAATAGGTGGTTTAAAAATTTTGAGGTCAGGGAGCGATCGGGATGCTGATTAAGACATGGCTTTATGAGGCGGTTGGGGGACTGTCTAGGATCATGAGCCAGTGGGGAGCACATGGACTACATTCCTGTGGGAAAGATGAATCTCACCGGGTTTATCTCCACTTCTCCTATCTGAGCCTCGAGCAGGTGTTGCTCGTCCTGCTTCACACACTAGCAGCTGGCTACGATCCGGGTGGCATGTACCTACAGGTCTGACACATTCTCTCCATCTCTACACGTTGTCTACAGACTGAGACATTAGCAGCAAATGTATGTGCAGCGCTCTTAATGCCTGGACAGTGTGTTTGGAATGGGAGCCCTTGGATTATTCGGAGAACATCATCTAATTCAATTCAATTCAGTTTATTTATATAGCACCAAAGTCACACAGAAGTCATCTAAAGGCACTGAACAGGAACATTCATATATAAAAATAATAAGTTAACACTATTTTTCTGAGGAGCAGACTGCCTTGAATTTAACTCCATCGCAGAACTCTCATCTTGAGCAAACACAAAGGCAACAGTGGATAGGAAAAACTCCCTTATGAGGAAGAAACCTTCAGCAGAACCAAGCTCAGGACAAGCGGCCATCTGTTTCGACCAGCTGGGTTTGAGAGGAACAGGAAGGAGGAACAGATACACAATGGCAGGTTGAAAATCAACAAAAAAAAAATGGTGAAAATCACGTTAAGAGAGAAATAATATCCAATGAAAACTATTCAATTTTAACAATTTGTTTAAGAAAATTTGGTCAATTTGTCCTCCAGTAGTCTAAGCCTATAGCAGCATAACAAGCCAACCCTAACTATAGGATTTATCAAAAAGGAACGTCTTAAGCCCAGTCTTAAAACTGGACAATGTGTCAGCCTCATGGACAGAAACTGGAAGTTGGTTCCACAAGAGAGGAGCCTGATAACTGAAAGATAGTCCTTTCATTCTGCTTTTGGAAACTCTAGGAATTGCAAGTAAGCCTGCAGTCTGAGAGCGAAGTGCTCTGTTGGGAAAATATGGAACAATAAGATCTCAAATATAGGATGGAGCTAGGTTGTTGAGAGCTTTGTAGGTTAGAAGTAAGATTTTGAATTCAATTCTGAACTTCTCCTCAGTTGTCTTCTGCTTACTTTTTCTAATTCAGTCCAGCCATAGGCTCTTTTTTGGCTCAAAACCTGTTTTTATTCAGATTCCTGAGGGAAGTTTTGCCTCAGCTGTAAAATATACATTTGGGTCACCAAAAAACTACAAGGAATGTGAACAATCTACAAAACTGTGTCTCCCTCCAACTGTCCCTTATTGTCACAATGAAGCTATGACAACTGGGCAGTGCATTAATAGAGAGTGATGAAGAGATGGGGGGGGGGGGGGGGGTGTCTGCTGCTGAAAGAAGCCTGTCGATCTCTCAGCAGGCATTTTCAATCCTCCACCCTTTATGAGACCCACAACAAGGCCTCCTCTGTTTGTGGAGTCTCTTCATCTATTCACACTCCCTGTGGAAAACAGTCTCCCTCATTCTCCACCAGCTGCTCCTCCTGCAAGCCCCCCACCACCCCACCCCCATCTCTGTGTTTCAGCTGCGCTTTCGGTTTGAGGCAGGAGGCCTGTTGGGAAATGCTGCTCTCAAATATCTCCTCCTTTGCACTCAGGAGTGAAAGTGTTTAACAGCACAGCTCAGTGCATGTTTGACTAGGTTGGGCAACAGTTGCACACAATCTTCTTTAGCCTTAGGAGACTAGTGTCGTCTAGTGCTGTGTTTATTGACTGATTTTTTTATCTTATAGTACCAGATGCAGTAACTGTACCACAAGAGCTCAAGTGAAATTTAAGATCACATTACTGATGTGATGTTTACAAAGTGAGAGTAGTCGTACATAACTTACTGCCAAATAGAGCATGGTGTACATGGCAAAGGAAGCATGGCCGGAAAAAAAAGACTTCCTGAAAAAAAACATCAATAAGAGAAGCCACGTTACACATTAACCAGTCAAGTTTACTGACTGTATACCCCACCCTTGGTAAATGCATAAGCTGTGAGTAAAAGCACACATGCCACACACCTTGCCTCTTCCACCAACTTCTGGTTGGGTTGCCTGCAGTTGACCTGAGAGATGTAGCTGCCGGGGGTGCAGTTAATGGATGCATAGGTAATGTTACACACAGAGAGGAAGTATGGCCGCAGGCGACCCACGCTCAGCTTGGCCATATTTGTGAGAGACTGACACACGCTACAACCAAACAGGAAGCTTCCCAGTTCCTTGTACAGGCACGACACATAGTGGTTTTGGACAAAAGCACGTGAGTGTACACGGTGAAAACGCACCCGGTAGCATTCGCCCAATGCAATCTGAAAAACAAAGAAAAGAAACGGATTGACTGAAGTCCATTATATCATATCATATATTATGACAGCTTTTGATTTTTTATTTTATATATAAATATCATTGGCCTTACTGTTAAGCCAGTGATGCATATGCCTCCAATAGTGAGCAGGGCATCAGGAATGGCTTCCCGCTCCACGAAGGGGTAGGTGATGGTGGTGTCCCCGCAGAAGAACCCTCGCTTGTACGGAGTCACTGCCGTCAGTTCACACACAAAAAATGGGATGGCGGCTGATGAGAGTAAGGGAAAATAGGGGGGTGGGAGACGGGGGGATTAAAAAAACAAAAGATGGTTGATGAATGCCTGAGAATGGATATGCAAAACAAGGATCACAGAGAGACAGGGTAGCTAAGATCCAGAGATACTTTGGGAAAATATAAAGGTGGCTGTCTCCTGACTCACAGGAGAAAGTCATGAGATGCAACTTAATAAAGTCTACTGCCGTATCATGTGTCATTCATTTGGGAACATGACCTGCAAATATCTGGAGATCAGGCATTCCACTCATAGCTGTTTTAATCAGAGGAGCAGGAAAAAGAAGAGTTAATAGATCCAGAAACAGAAAGAGAAAGCCACAGGGATGTGATGTATATATGTAACTGCATTTTTACTGTAGTTTATTGTTGTCATTGTTTACTGTTGTTGGTGTCTGCACTTGATACTCTATGTTCTGTCCGGAACAGGTTCCTCTTGTAAATGAGTCCCAGCGGCTCAATGAGGCTAGCCTGTATAAATAAAGGTTGAATGAAAAAGTATATCATGATGGTGAAAATTCATTAAAGGTGGAAAAATTATAAGAGGAAGAAAGAAGAAAACACGAGAAGGCAAAGTTTAAACATAGTCAGCTGGCCAAAAAATGAAAAGATCAAATCACTGTAGAAAAAGCTAAATAGTCTTAAATATTCCATTGTTTTCCAGGAAAACAAACTAGAAATATTTTATTCCATTTTCAGTTATACTTACTGCTGCCCCACTCTACACTTCCTGACTGGTCACTGATTATATGAGCTCTGTATCAGGGAAAAAAAAGGTCAAGGTCTGGTTCACTTAAGCAAGCAAACATCATAGCCGGATGGTGAATATTTGTTGGGTTAAAGTTAAGCAACATTTTTCGTGGTGAGAGGTGGGGGTAATGGTTTTAACGCATGTTTTTATCTGGACTACAAACCTACAACCAATAACCCTGCCGAGGCTTGTCCAGCATTCTGCATTTCTCTGTCCCTTATCCTACGTCCTCTTGTCACCCCATGGAATGCAGTGAGAACATGGGACTAATCATTAACCTCTGTGCCTCTCTTTCTCATCCCCAGCCTGCTGGTTGGCTGGAACGCACCCAGGCCAAAACAGTGCTCCAGCCAGGGAATCTTTCAGGCTACGTGACTAGTGCACACAGGATGCGCATTTTAAATCAGGCAAAAAGGAACAATAAGCAAATTTTAACTCGAACACAAACAATTGTTTTATCATGTGTTTAGTCAATACAAGTGAACAATTTTGATTTTTAAAAGTTAAGAACTTAATTGCCAATGCTGCACTGGGAGATTTGCTCCAATTGTTTCAGCTGTATCCCCCCCCCCCCCCCCCCCCATTGTTTTCCTTGGTAAAATCATTCACTGGTAAAACACTTATCATAACTTCACCCAGTCAACAGCAAAGGTTATAACTTATACATCTAAGGTTATTAGCACGGAAAAATGCATAAAAGCTGCAGCCACACACTTGGCACTCTAACTATAGCTGAAACTCAACCTTCATTGCATATCAGTGTGAATTTATAACGTTCTGCTGCAGTCTAAAATGTGTGTTGGTGAACTCTGTTCAAAGTCATGTTGTCCTGAAAGAAAGACAAAACATGGAGATGTCCAGGAAGTAAGGGAGGGAACAGCAGAGGCACACACTGCAGACAGATAGCAGAGGCCGTGACGCCAACAAAGAGAAGAAGACAGATATGGGACACCTCTCATCTGACCCCAATCTCTCACTCATCTCATTCAGCTGCCATGTCTGCTGGCAGAGCATCTCACACACCTTCTGCAGGCATCCTTTAGGTTGAGCTTTGACCATGGACTCCGACTATTTTATCACTACATTATTATTACATTTTATTATTTTATTACTTCAGACATTAAAACATTAGGTACGTCGGATCCTTTAGAGTTTGGAGCAGGGATCTACAACTTTTACAATCAAAAGAGTCGTTTCTGCCCATTTGTTCAGTAAATTAAACGTGTCCGGAGCCACAATACCTGCTACAACTGGGATTCTTAACTGGTGGCCCATGGACCACTTTTAATTTTATTGGAGGGTGCTTTTGTGGACAGTAGGGGTGATTTTCTAAAACTGAATATATCTAATGAATTTTAACATTTGTTCATATTTTTACATTCTAAGACAAAATAAAAGACGAGATTCTTGTAAAGAAGGAAAAAATAATATGGTTTTTGCCCAGTTTCTAAAAACTAAAACAATAAACTATGCATTCTTATGTGATTTTTTTTTTTTATTGTAGAAAAATGATGTATCCTACTTTGAAGAAATAAAGCATAAAGCAAAAGTATGTTTTACCCCTTGTAATGTTTCTAGTATTCATGTATTTGCTAAATGAATTACAGGAAAACTATTAAAACAAGCCCTTTTAGTTGTTGTTATACCAACCAATAAAATTCAGTTTTATGTCAGTTTTGGTCAAAGCTTGAAAGAGCCGCTGCAGAGGAACCAAAGAGCCACATGTGGCTCCAGAGCCGCAGGTTGCAGAACCCTGATTTGGAGTGTTGTGTCAGCAAAAGATCGATATATATTTTTTATATTAGCAACATACATATTTAATGCAAAGTATCATAACGGGAAAACTTGTCTAATAGAAAAAAACTGATGTATTCATTTTGTCTGTACATTATGCATTCACTGTGGATTTTTTTGTTTAAATATAATATATGGCATAAAACTCTAAATACGGTTAAAGTGAAAATTAATCAAACAAAACCAAGAAAATGCATCTTTAAATGAAAAGCCCAAGAAAAGACACAACTTTTTGCTTATTTCAGACATTTTGCATTTGCTTCTAAAATGTGTTTCGAACCATTCTGTTGGCGATCTTTTGTTTTCAAAGATGTTCAACACTTGAATACTAATGATGCGCTTTAAATGTAATTGAACCCATTTTTTAACAAAAAGAGGCAGCAGATTTTTGCTTCCATAAAATCCATTACCGGCCCCCTTTCTGACTTCTGGACAGATTTTACAACACAGCCAATTCTTTTTCACTACCGGTGATCGATATGTTGCTGCATTGACAGAGAGATAATGGATAGGACCTCCATTAAGACCAAAACACTCCACTGTTACGCAATGAACATGGACATTATAGGAGATCATTTTCGGTGTTGTCTAATGGGAAATATGAAGTGCTGAGCCAGACAAAGATATGTTTTATCACCCAGAGGCTGCCAATAGGAATGTGCTGCTTTCCCATTTTTGCAGTCTAATTTACCTCTAACAAGCATTAAATAATTGTTACTATAAAGTGGTAAATAGTGGTCATATAAAGAAAGAAGTGACTACAAAATTCATTTTCCTCTTGAGTATGAGTTTTTCAAAGTATAACAAAACGCAAAGCAAATTTACTAGAAACTACGTGTTTGCATAATCTCCTGCATTGCAAGCTGTTGTGTAGAAGCCAACCTTTTAGCTTTGCAACTACATTAAAACTGTTTTCACAACAAGACATTAAAACTCTCCAGAGACTCTCACATCATCTCTCAGGCAGCTGTGAGCAAACCTCTGCACCTGGCCCAGGCATGCTTAAAAGAGAGCAAGCGCTGGAGGATCTGCAAAGGAACTGAAAGTAGGCAGAGAAGTGGGTCGGCTCACACAGCCGAGCCAAAAAATGTGCTGCTCACTGGGTCTGACATCCAAAGCCAGAACGCTTTTCAAATGCTCAAAAGGGACAGAAGGAAAGAAAGAGTGAAAGAAAGAAAGAGGGGGATAAGGAGGGAGGAAGGAGGAGAGGGAATATGTGCCTCACTCTGAGAAATTCTTCTGGTTCTAATTTACACATCTATGACCACAGCCCAGAATGAGCTCATTGTGAGAGGAGAAAAACAACAACCAATAGCAAGAACATTAAAAAAAAAAAAAAGTCTACGGAGAAATTGGTTAAAGCAAAAATTAAAACAAAAGAAAACTGATAGTAATGTTGGCCAGCTGCAGATAAATGCGATGTCAAGGTAGAACCTGTGCTGAAATGCACGGTCAGAAAGTAAGACGACGATTAAAAGAGTCTTAAGATAATAACGTTGGTGTGAGAAAAATTTGGAGGAGCGATGGAAGATGCAGCAATGGATTTTCTATAAGGAACAGCAGAAGGAGGCGATTAGTGGTGGTTCTGGAATGTGAGGGTCAAAGATCTGAGCTCTGCTGAGACCCACTCTGTAAACAAGACCCTGCCTCAACCAGGAGAATACCCCTAACATGCCTGTCGCTTAACATAAGCATATACACCTATAAACCACACTTGGATGCAAATAAACCAAAGCCACAACCACAGAAACTAACAGACAGCCCAGTCAACCATAAAAAAATACACATCAGAACCTGGACTAAAATTAATCACCCAATGGAAGAAAGAAAAAAAAAGCACGCTAGCGCAGGACACTTCACTTGGAGCAGCTCGTTAGGTCTAGATAAATTATTGCGTCTGTTGCTATTTGACATACAGCCTGCACAACCTCATAGATTAGTGTGACTGCCTAAAGCTACATCTAAACAACAGTAATGGTTATCTGCGTCATCACACCCAATAATATTTGACTGTCCAGGCCTAGTTACACATTTGCCCTTTGACAAAAGTGGAGGACGTCCAATTAGTGACCTGTCAACACAGGTCCATCTGGCCTACAGCTTGGCTCCGGAGTGAGCCATGCAACCCCCTTTACGGGTGGTCTATCCTCACAAGGCCTCTTACCAGCTTGCATGTCCAACATTTCCAAACAAAACTGTGAGCTGCTTGTTTACATTCAAGTCAACCCTTTAAAAATAATAAGTTAGTGAACTAAATCATGCAGTGTTGTAATATCAATGTTTTCAGGCAGGAACGTTGCTGGTAGCATCACAAGGAGCGGTAAGCCATTTTCATATACTGGTACTAATAAACAGCAGCACGGTGTTGGTCTGGGTGTGCTTGTGCAATTATTTGTGCAATCATTACTTTAGCACCACAAAGCTGTCTTCA